GAAGTAGTCAGAAATCCATTTGTCTACTTCGGTTTTCATCACTTTGCGCACGAACATTGCTCCTGAATCTGTTCTCGAAGAAATACCTTCACCGGCGGCCAACATTCCAGATATTGCTCCATAAACTTCCTCTTGCAGTTCCATCATTTGGCGATACATGTTTGTGCTCTAAATGCCAAGTAGCATGGTGTTATAAGGACCTTAACTTACCCTATGACTAAGGTCCCAATTGACAATCATAATTTTTCCACTGACTATGTAGTGCTTCAATCTATACAAAGTTGATTCATTATCCACAGCAACCTGCCATGAACTTATCACTCCTTTAATGTCCAAGTTGTCTTCTCATTTGAAAACTGGCTCCCAGAGACAGAGCCTCCCATTTGTGTCTACCCAATGGTCTCACTTAGTTCTTCCCTGGACTTATAACTTGGCGAAAATTGAAGTTTCTAGTTAACTGGCTCCCAGCTGACTTTCGATTGGAAAACAAGATGCAGAAAAGATTTAAGAGTAAGTAGCATTAGTCGCGTGTCGCAATAATTTTAACAACTCAAATAAATTTGTTACTTTATACATATCTTCTTACTCGCATCGACTTTGTGAGTGGATGTTCTTAATATCTTCAATGAGGTAATCAGATCTTAAAACGATTCGAAATTTCCGACCTTGATATGCCTCAATTTTGAATTGACAAGAATTCAAATTTTGTGCAGGTCACACTTTCTATTTAATCAACTTAGTATTCAGTGTGCATTTACATTGGAGTAAAATTTTCGCAAATTTTACAGTTGACAAGCTCTCTACTTATTGAGGTGTTACTTGCTAAAAAGACTTACCAATGTTTCTTGTTTATTCTTAGTATCTCTAGCAAAAAGCGTATTGAACGAGCCCAATTCAGAATGTGAATCAAGTTCTAAAGTAGAAGAAAAGAACACTTTTATGAGGGTGATCCATCGATGCTATTCGTTGCTTTTTCAATGAAATGGAAATTTCTAATGAATTTAAACTCATACAGACAAATTTAACGGGCATTGTTTCAATGTCTATGACACAATCATAAGAGTTGGCTCTCTGATACTAATCTTAGTAATATTATTTAGACCGAATTGCAAACTTTATGATAGTTATCATTGGCCCTTTAGCTAACTCTGAGCATCACAGAGGAGTATGCGATAGACTTACCACCTTGTGGTGCACCCTGGGCAATGCAATCTTATACGGTTAAAAAAGTCTACAAACCGGCAATTGACTTCAAACTACCATGACTCTACAGTATGACATATACTGTATCTTACCTTTTTATCTGCCTTTGTGTTTTTCTCTTTGAAATTCGAATCGTTCTTCTGTTCCCTTTCCCCTCAACTAGACATTTTGTCAGTTTGATGTTCCTCCCATCTGTGAGGCCCCGAAGTCAACTATTGGGCTAATAAGAATTGTCCATGACCCGAATGCATGTTTGCGTTGAACCATTCAACGCTCAGCATCAGTGATAATAAAATAAACAGAAACTAGGTTTGTCCATGCATTTTAGACTATTTTACTCCACTTGCAATAATATTTTGAATCCAGTAGATAGGGTCAGTAAAGACTGTATTCAAGTGCAGAGAATTGGATTGGATACATTAACAAATTGAAAGCAATTTACCTCCAGCCTCGATGCTTGTATCATAATCCATTTCTTTGAGATCAGTAATTGCGTCTCCAGGGAGTGGATTGTCGGTTTGCGATTGAATTCCCTTTAAGAAAATAAAAGAAGATATTGTTAAAGCACATTTTTTCCAAGTTTTGAATTACTTACTGTCATGATGTTAAAGAACGAGTCGAGAACCATCCTTCCAACTGTCACTGAATCATCCTTTGATGCTACTTTCGAAATATCTCGAACATTTCTGGACACATTTTCGATTATAGACAGAAGCTTTTCTTGACCTGATCGGGGTATGTCACTGGAGGCGAGTGCAAGAGCATTGATTGTAGATGTGATCTGTCTCAAGGTGTTTGCATCTGTGACTTCTACAGAGCCAACAGCATCAACCAACTGCACAGCAATCTAATTAAAGAAGGAGTGTTACTTAATACAGATGCTATTAGATAGGGAAATACTTATAGTTTGTTAATGATAACACATTGGTTGCTCAGTTTAAAATCACGGAAGGGACTCGAATAGGCTGAAACGGCCAAGCCTATAAAAATGTATATTATAACGCTTTCTATTAAGGCTTAATTTGTCCACGATCGGTAATGGCGTCTTCCTCTGTTCTCCAAATTCACCTCTCTTCCTCTTCCTTGCTCCCTCTCACTCGGTTTCAAACGACTAATAAACCTATGGTCTAACCGAACTCTTGTCCTTCTTATTCCAGAAAGGTTTCTTGCACCTCATCAACCTTAGGAAGATCGTTATTTCTGTGAGAAGATCTTTAATCTAAATGTCAGCATTTTCGATTCCCACTAAAATTCTTGGCTCGAGAAAGCTCTCGGTGGGAATAATGTGTTCCAGACGAATTGCATGAACAACAACTGAACCATCGAGACGAACATTTTTTAGCATTTCTGGCATAGATAGCAATAATTTTTAAGCTCTTTCCTCAAGAACTGTTAGGTCCTAGTTGAGCGAATTTCCATGAGAGACAACTCCACATCCTCCGTATAGTTCAGACCTCAGATATTTTGTTTCTAAAACTGAAGGGACACCTTAAAGGCACCCGATTTACGCCTGTAGATGAAACGAAAAACATGCTATTTCAGGGTGCCTGAGACAGCCCAGAAAAATTGCACAATGAGTGAATTTACAGGGGGAAATATAGATGTTCAGAAGTGGTTAGAAAACAATGGAACCTTTGTAGAAAATTGAAAATAATCATTTGTTAAATATAAAAAAAAATTGTTGAATATGTCTGAGCACGCTATGATTCACCCTCGTAGTTATACTCCATATTCTCTGCTTAAAAAAGTACCTTATAGAGAACAAAGCAACACAAGAACTTACATCAGCTCTCATTTTAGCTGCTGATGTGGGATCGGTCAAGTTAGCCTAAAGAGAGCAAAGGTTAACAAAGTAAAGTAGATGCAATAGTAAATATTAATAAAATCTTCAAATATTAGATCTCACCCAATGTCCTACAAACAAAAAGAAAGAAAAATTATAATTAATTTAAATCAGGAAATAAGTGAGGGTGACAATTTAAAAGATGCATAAATATAAAGCAAATATTACTTAGTATGATACAAAAATAAGCTTTAAATTGTTTGAATTTATTATATGGCATTTGCCTTCAGTGGCCATCTTCGAACCCTCAGCGAGCAATCTAGCAACACTCTGAACTGTGACGGAAATTTCATTTGGATCACCAGTTTTCAATGCGTTGGCAATATCTGAATCGGTGCCCGAGGCAATGGCTTCCAATGTGGTGAATATGCTATTGGGACTTTCCGCTTTGAACTGCAATGAAATGGAAGTAGAATGAATGTGTTTTTTGTTCGAGCAACTACGTATTGACTAACTTACGAAAAGTCTAAAATAACAATGTTCATTTTTGGAGCCCATATTGTCAGTTACGTCAACACATAATTGGAATTCTTCAGTTGCAAAGGGTATTTTTCCGCAGTAGAGAGGACCAGTGGAACTTGCAAATGTGAAGTAATCGGATTTGATTAGCTCTGAAAGTATCAATCAAAATAAAATCACCCCATTAATTATTGCAAATCGACATCAATTGAGGGTGTTATCAAGCAATGAAATCCCGATCACCAAGAACAAGGTCTTGAGATTAGAAAGAAGGTGCACACGCTGCT